CTCTGTTCCCCAAAGATCATCCACGAAATATAGGGTCATTGTCAGATATATTTTTCAGTCTTTCTTGACCAACTGCCCCGCTCTGCCTGTTTCTAAGCCCATATGTGCTCATTTCCTTGGCCGTACTTTTTCTCAGCTTGTTTCTCAGTTTGTTCCAAAGCCAGACCACTTAACTGCTGGTTCTGGGGCTTTACTAAAACAGCTCACTTTGTAATAAAGGAGACAGTTTGTTTAATTAAAAAAAAAGACTTACTGTATTTATTTGAGAGGCAGAGTGACAGAGAGAGAGAGGGGTCTTCCATTCACTGGTTCACTCCCCAGATGGTTTCTTCAGTGGCTGGGAAGTCTGAAGCCAGGAGTCTGGAACTCCATCTGGGTCCCCTAAGTGGGCACAGGGACTCCAACACTTGGGCTATTCTCCTCTACTTTAGCAGGAATGCTAGACCAGAAATAGAGCAGCTGAGACTCAAATCAACGCTCATATGGACGCTGGTGTCCCAGGCAACAGCTTCACCTGCTGTGCCACAATGCTGGCCCCCATTTTGTTTAATTTTTAAATCTAGTGTTGCAAGTGTTTAAATAGTAATGCACTCTCAAGTTTGTGTGGAATGAAAAGAACAGAACAATGACAACAACAACAAAGAGCTGTCTGCTTAGCCCAGGGCTGCTCACCCTCTGCACTACTAAGTACCCTCTGTACTGCCTAAGTTTCTGTGTTGGGGCTGCCTTGTGCACTGCAGGGTGTTTAGCAGCATCCTTGGCTTCTATGCTTTAGGTACCAGATGCACACCCTCCACAACTGTTCCAACCCAAAATGTCTGCAGACCTTGCCAAGTGTCCCCAGGGGGCAAAACTGTGACCAATGGAGAACCACTGGCTTAAAAGGCAAAGAAAGGGACCAGGGACAGACGTGCAGTGACGTAGTCATCATCTCCTAATGATGGTCCTTTAGTCAGTTAGGATTTTTGTTTTGCTTTTAGTACTTTGTGTTACAGATAAAACTGCAACAAACAAACCAGTACTTTCTTTGCATATTTGGGCTAGTATATCTGTGTGGTACATTTCTATAAGGGAAAGTACTGGGTTGTAGGATGTGTGTGTTTAGGTTTGCAGTGTTGCCAAAATGACACCTAAAGAGATTAAGCAAATAACACTACATTTACTATTTTATTAAAGATATTCTTTTTTGAAGTGCCTTGACATTTAAGCTTAAATAAGGTCTATGAAAGTATAGGTTTATATGCTAATATATATTTTCTAGTATACATTAAAACAAATGCATTAGATATGAAGATAAAAAATCCTTCACACACCACCCCAAATCATCTTTTATATCAAGTATGGGGAAATCTTCATTGCCAAGATTGGATAACTGACTGGAGAATTGACACTGATCTGTAGTCAGCACTATTTGGATTCTCAGATTATTCAAGCCACTGATTTTGTTCAAGTCCTACTTCTCCATTCACAAGAGTGCTGTGAGGGATTCGGTCACATCTTTGTTAAAACCAAAGCACTTCAAAGCACTGAGAGCTTGCGTTTATCTAGATAAGTCTTCTAGAATATGAAAGTGGTTGCAGTTGTGTAGGAATTTCTTCAGTTAGTCACCCAAGCAAGAGACATTGGTAACTGTCTAATCTCCCTCGTGAGAAGAGCCCAAGCACTAAGGAGGAGTATTTTCTGAGCGTCCGGGTGGCTGTGTAAAAATAAAAAGCAATGGGTGTATTATATTTTTTTTTGACAACAAGAACTTGTGGAAAAGGATGAGGGCCAACAGAACAACATGGCATGCCAATTTTCAATAACCCTCATTCAGCATTTTGCTGTTAATCATCTGCTAGGCTCACAGAGTCACAGTTGCCTGCTCTTTGGCACGGTCATCCCTGAATTAAGCAGAGGTCATTCTTGCAGGTCCATTGTTAGGTCTTGGCGTTCTCAGCATCATCAGTTACTCTTGCAGGAATGGAGCGGTCAGGGCTGAGATCCATCCCTGCCACTGCGGCAGTGTGGGAACCCAGAAGGCTGAGCTGCAGGGGAATGAGGTTCAGATTGGCAGGCGAACTTGGCATCTGTGATGGGTACAGCCAGGAGTCTGTGTGGAAAGGCACAAGCCCAGTGGAGAATCTAATGTGCAGTCTTCAGTAGGGGAGCCGGCAGGTGGGGGACTCGGGGGTAGAGAGTGTCTGGTATTCCTCGTCAAGAAGATTTTAAGGAAGCTGGGTAGCTCTTGGGGTAGTGGGAGCCTGACAAGATTGGGTCAGGACCAGGCCCTAGAGTCAAGTGTGGTGCTTGCGTTTCACAGAACAGGAAGTCAGAGCAGAGAACAGAGGGCAAGAATTAGAAACTGGGGAACAAGCACAATGTATGCATGTATCAAAGCGTCACAGAATTTTCTGCATCAATTAATGAACAGACAACCACATCAGGGTTAACCTAACCAATAATACAAGTTATTGCCAAGCCTGATCCAGTGTTCAGACCACTACCTCCCCCACAGGTTAACATTGGCCCAGGTGGGACTCCAGGGCCCCAGTACAGAGCAGGAACTGAATCTCGATCTGTTTGATAAAACAACTCATGTTTTCCTCACCGCACCCCTCATGCTGCTTCTTCATGAAAAAAGACACACACAGGGGACGTGACCAACCTGTTCACGAGGCCATAGGCTCCTTGAAGGAAGGAACTGCCTGAGTTCCTAGGGGCACCTGGCACGTGCTCAAGGATTATCGTTGAATATGTAACGAAAGCAAAGACCAAGGAGCAGGTGGAGACCCAGTCTCTGTGAAGTGAGTTTCTCACAGCGCTCCAGGGAGCTCGCCCTGCCCAAGATAGTCTATACTGTTTACTGTTTTAGTCCACAATAGCCAAGAAAACCGCTGTTTTAAAAATAGTGATTTTCCTGATGTTGTTCATACTGGAAATGAGGATAGATATTCTGTGAATGTGGCCACTGATCATTGTTATTTTTCTTGGTCATGTTGGAGGGTACTTCAAAACATTTGTGTAAAAATAGAATTAAAAGATAAGATCCTTTTGGTGCAAAAGTATTTGAAATCCATGTATAGGTTTTTTACCACATCATTTTCCATGCATTTTTTTAAAAAAAGATTTGCTTATTTATTTATTTATTTGAAAGGCAGAGTGACAGAGAGGAAGAAACAGAGAAAGAGAGATTTTCTATCTGCTGGTTCACTTTCCAAAAGGCTCAAAGGACGGGCCTGGGCCAGGCTGAAGCCAGGAGCCAGGAACTCCATCCTGGTATCCCACATGGGTGGCAGGGACCCAAACACTTGGGACATCCTTTGCTGCCTTCCCAGGCACATCAGCGGGGAGCTGGATCAAAGTGGAGCAGCTGGGACTCAAACTGACACTCTGATATGGGATGCCAGCATTGCGAGTGACAGCTTAACCCATTTGGCACACACCAGCCCTTTCCATGAACTTTTTGAAGTCTCTTTGTGTTGTATCGACCCCTGCTTAGTACCTTGTGTTAGCACGTGTGGATTAGGCAGCAGGGACACATCTTTATGAGGAGGAAGATACAGCCTGGGACCCCCGAGGCAGAGGTAGACAACTGACGGCTGCTAGCAGCGGGGGCCTAACACAGACCTTTGTTTATTCTTGATACTGTGATTGTTACACTTTTCCCAAGTTGGCTGTCAGATGTCCAGATGTGTCTTCATCACATTGCTGAGGGTCGTGCACATTCTCACCATTGCTGCATACGCTGACGCCAATATTGTTGGCTCACTTAAAAATTCTGATTTGTGTCTTCTCTCTTGAGAAATTGAAGGCTCCACCAACACTGAGTCTGTTTCTCAGCTGTCTGACCGCAAAGCTTCGTGGAAGTGTGTCACTGGGCTTGAACCATTGTTCCTCTAAATGCAGAAAGCAAGCTATGTTACCGCATCTGCTTCACCCACTGACATCACCTGCCTGGCAAGCATCAGCCTTTGAGACCAAGACCCCTCCTGTGCTGCAGTTCACTGAGTCCTTACTATGTGCAAAGCACTGAAGGCACTTGTTCTCATACATTCTCTCTCAGCCTCACACAACCCTGTGAGTCGCTATCTCCCTTTTATAGGTGTAGAAACTAAAGTCACACAAGCAAAGTAACTTGTCCATGATTCTGAAGCTTCTAGGTCATGGCACAGGGATTCAAATCTAGAATTAAAGCCTTGAAGTTGGGGCTGGCACTGTGGTGTAGCAGATAAAGCCGCACCCTGCATTGCCGGCATCCCATGTGAGCACCAGTTCAAGTCCCAGCTGCTCTTCTTAGGATCCAGCTCTCTGCTAATGTACCTGGGAAAGTAGTGGAGGATGGTCCCAAGTCCTTGGGCTCTGCACCCACATGGGAGACCCATAAGAAGCTCCTGGCTCCTGGCTTTGGATCGGCCCAGGAGCCGTTGTGGTCAACTAGGGAGTGAATCAGTGAATGGAAGATCTCTCTCTCTGCCTCTGCCTCTCTGTAACTCTGCCTCCCAAACAAATAAATATATCTTAAAAAATACATTGATTCTTAGAAAAACAAACAAATAAATAAAACCCCTGAACTCAAAGCCTAGGCCCAAAGCTGGGTCTCATATTATTATAACCTCATATTATGCTGCTTCTCCAAGTACTAAGTTACAACAATGGACTTATTGCCAAACACAGTGTTTCTTCCCATACACAGGCCATGTGGGACTGACTTCCAGGAAGTGGGGCTGAGCACCAGGCAGGCCCGGGAGTGCTGCCCTGCCCTTGCCCTGGCCCGTGATGGACACCCAATTCCCTGCCAGTGTCAGCCAGAGCTGGGCTTTGTTGGCTCTGGGAGCCCAGCTGTTGTAGGGAGGGAGTACAGGTGGATCTGGGGTCACCGTGACTCTCATAGATCACTGATCCTGGCCGTGTGTGTGTGTGTGTGTGTGTGTGTGTTGGGGGTGCTGCTCTAGCTCTACACACAGGGCAGCTTCTATAAAGGGCTGGAGCTCTGGCCTCACCGCCGTCAGACCATTGAGATGGGGAGGCTGTTGCTGTGGCTTGGTGAGTGTGGCAGGTCCTGGCAGTGTCACTTACTCCAGAAAATAGCAGGCTTCTTGATTAGTTCTCTAGTGCCTAAGAGAGCTGCCTGGGACTCAGGGCCTAGGTTATGTAACAATGGACGGACACAGTGAAGGGTCAGAGGGACCCGGGGGGAATGCTCAGACCAGTGGTTCCTCAGCCATCTCCTTAGACATTTTTATGCTTGTGTTTTACTTTGGACCAATCAGAATCTCTGGAGTGGAGAGGAATCCAGGATATCGATACTGTTACATTTGTGCCAGGGTGAAGAATCACAGCCTAAAGTTTTTGCTGGCCCTGTGCAAAGCATGTGATAAACATGGTGTCCACTTGAGAGGAAAGGGACTTAGGTAGATGTAGCGGCACTTGCTTACTTTAGAGAAGAGGGAACGAGTTGTGTCTCCATCTGTGCATTGCAGCTGGAGGGGGTGCCCAGCTGATGGGTGCACTTGCTCGCTGGAGGCTGTGCTGGGCTGTGTGATAAATCCCTGTGTGACCCTCCCCTTTGTTTTCTGCAGGGCTGGTTCTTGTGCTGGATTGCCACGATGGTAAGGAATTGTGTTCTGCCCTCTAGGGCCAGGAAGCTGCCCTGACTTGAGACGTCCTCTGCACTAAGTGTCCCCTTCAGCCCTGCCCTCCCCTGGCTCTGTTGTCGGGGGTTATTGATCCACTGCAGTTCAGTGGAGGATTTTGGTCACCGGCTGTGGCACTCAGTCTGTGCCAGAATCCAGACTTGCACATCTATTCTGACCAGGATTTAACAGGCATTCTTTCTCCACCCCGGGACCTTAGCCGTAGGGGAAGGACAGGAACTTGGCGTAGCTTCGCAGGATGTATGTGGGGAGGGAGCAGAGGATGCTGCAGTGGCCTGACCTCCTGGACTGCATTCCCACTGCTCTCTGCAAGCTGGGCCCTGTCCCTCTTGGTCTCTGCCAAGTCCTATATGCTCTCCCTCACCAGGCGCTGCCTACAAGCTGGTGTGTTATTTTACCAACTGGGCACATAGTCGACCGGGCCCCGCCGCCATCCTGCCCCACGACCTGGACCCGTTTCTCTGCACACACCTGATATTCGCGTTTGCCTCAATGAACGACAATGAGATCGTTGCTAAGGATGTCCAAGATGAGCGAATTTTCTACCCAGAGTTCAACAAACTCAAAGAGAGGTGTGTTTGTATTAGCCCTGGGGGTCAGATTCTCAGATTTTGCAGAGACAAGAGGAGCATTAAACCCGCTTCCCAGCTACCCTTTGACTTCCCTCTGATTCTTCCAGTACTACCTCCTCTCAGGAGCACTCCCACCTTCAGAACTAGCCAGTGACAAACACCTTGAGCTCTTTCTCACCTCCTTGCCTTTGGCTGGCTGTTGCCTCTCTCTCCCTTCTCTGCCTCCCCCTAGCGGTGAGCTCCTCCAGGAGCACAGCAGTGTCTCCTGCGTCTGCACACCCAGTGCCCAGGTCAGTGGCTGGCGTGGAGCTGGTGCTCAGAAAGTGCGTGCTGAAGCGCTCCCCTCCCCAGCGCTCCTGGGTTCTTCCCCCCTGCGAGGAAAGTCTCGCCAGGGCATTAATGGCTATCAGCGGACAGGGTGCTGAAGGTTGAGCTGGTGTGTGCTGTTCACCGACGTCTCTCAAGCACCCAAAGCAGTCACATGGTCATTGCTCCATAGACAGTTGTTGAAATGGAGGAATGTTTTGGGTAGCTCGTTTCTCCTGGAAGCATCCTGAGGGTGTGGGGGATTTGGTGGGCTGCCGACAGCCCGAGAGCTGCTGGGCTGTGATGACTCAGGGGTGGTTGTTATACTCCCCTTTCCTGGGCTCTCCTCTCTCCTTCACGGCACCTCCTTTCTCCTCTGCTTCCCCTGCCTCCCATCCCCCCATTTCCCACTGTTCCCCCAGTGAGTGAAGCAATAGACTGAGGACCCAGCTCACAACCCTCTCTCCCGCACCCTAGGAACAGGGAGCTGAAAACACTGCTGTCCATTGGAGGGTGGAACTTCGGCACAACCAGGTGAGACTGCATCACCACCTTCTCTCGGGAGGGTGGCGCTCGTGGGCTAGAAGTGAGGACAGACTGGAGAGAAGAAGCTGGCATGGCCCTGCAGCTGGCAAAGTTGGTGCAGACACAGCCCCAACTCCTGACCTGGATTCAAGGGACCCCAGGGTCTCTTGCATGGGGAGTCGGGGAGTCAGGAGTTCCTACAAGTATGAGAAGGCAGGTGGGAGGGGACGAGAGACAAAACGAGGTGGAGGTTTGTCTCCAAAGGCCTTGTTCAGAACAGGAAGAATAAACCCCAAATCTCACAGGGCCTGGGTTTCTTTGTTGCATAAACAGAGCCAGTGACATCAACCTCAGCAGTGTGTTAGAGGGAAGGAAGTGACACACGAATGCTTGGCGTGGTGCATGGGCCTGGTGGCCACTCTGGTTAGCACCTCACCCTCCACAGGGCAGTGTGGGGATGACGAGGTCCTGCCTGTGCTCTGAGGAAGCATCCCCTGTCTCACGGCGGAGGCCTCCTTGCACAAGAGGGGGAGCTGGTGGCCGCAGTGAGGGAGGATGCGCCTTCCACGGGGCCCCCGGGTGCGATGGAGGAAGGACTGGTGTGTGAGCCGACAACTGGCTGTGCCCAGCACCAGGCAGCTCCTCTCCCACTTCAGGCACAAGCTCGGCCCTTGCATACATTATGTCCTCACTGCTCAGGAGAAGCTTACACTGTGGCTGTGTGTGTTCCAAGAGAAAGCAAGAGTCGTGGGGGTTGTGGAACTTGCCAGATTGCTCCCATGGGCCCCTCAGAGAGCGTCCAACTGGGAGAGGGAAAACAAGACAATGGAACCCAGGCCCATCTGCCTCTGAGTCTGCTCATTTTCTGCACTCACAGAGCTAGCCTAGAATCACTTAAAGTTAGGCTCTTATAAGTTGGAATTTTTCCAGAAATTTATGTTCACTATGGAACAGAAAACAAACTGAAATAGGAAAAAAAAAAAAAAAAGAAGAAGAAAGCAAACAAGCAAATGGAGAGGAAAACCAAAGGATGGGTGCCCCTTCACAGAGCACTGGCCTCCGCCAGGTTAGGCAGCTCAGACTCATAAATGGGCTTGTGGATCTTTCCAGAAGTGCTGGGTCAGTCCCCTCCCCTGATCCAGTCAGCGATGGCACAGGTATGGGGTTGGGTACCTGGTGGTGAGCAGACGGCAATGCCTTGCCAGTGGATGTGCTGTGTTTTGGCAGCAGAGCTGGGTGCAGCCAGTGCCACCACTGTGGGCTGTGCACTTTCTGTGTCTGCAGCTTCCCGCCCCATCCTCCCTGCTGCTCCTGGGTGCTCAGTCCTGGTGCTGGAAGCAGCGTGTCAGAGGCAGGGAAGCCAGAGCTCAGCCCTCCCTCCCTCCAGCGCTGTGGGCTGTGCAGGCCACTGGGCACCCGGCTTGCGAGGGTCCTGGGGAGGCTGTGGCTTGGCAGACAGCCCTCCTTGCCTCACCCCTGCTCTCTCCGCAGGTTCACCGCCATGCTGTCTTCATTCGCCAGCCGTGAAAAATTTATCAACTCAGTTATATCCCTGCTAAGGACACACAACTTTGACGGTCTCGACCTGTTCTTCTTGTACCCTGGGCTCAGAGGCAGCCCTGCCCATGACCGGTGGACTTTTCTCTTCTTAGTTGAAGTAAGGCCAGGCTGGGAAGCTCCGGAATGCAGAAATGGTTCTACTTTGTGTGGTATCTGGGCTCATGGCAGGGGAGGAGCACAAGGTAGGGGCAGGGGCAGGAGCGAGGCAAGACAGTGTTCTTTTGCTGCCGCCACCTACAGGCGTTGGGCGGAACTGTTGCTGACAGGTGCCCCATGGGTGATCCAGTCCCCGAGCCAGAGAGGGGCCTTGTCTATGCAGCCTCTTGGACTCTCTCGGGCAGCGTCCTCCTGAGCTCTGTGCTCCTGGGCCTGCTTGCACCCTTCTGTGAAGTCACCTTGGTAGCCTGCACCTGCCTTTCTCACTAGCCCGTGGGTGGGCGGGGACAGCACCTGACTCCCCTTTGGGTCCCCAGAGCCTGGCTCGTGGGCTCAGGGAGCGTTTCCTGCCTGACGCTTGCTTTCCCGACTCTGTCCTGCCTGGGTCCACGCGCCTGACTCTCTTTCTCCCTAGGAGCTCCTGTTTGCCTTCCAAAGGGAGGCGCTACTCATCAAGCGTCCCCGGCTGCTGCTCTCCGCTGCTGTTTCTGGGGTCCCACACATCATCCAAACATCTTACGACGTGCGCCTTCTAGGAAAGTGAGTGCCTCGGTGGGGTGGGCCACTGCAGGGCGGAGGAGGGCTTTGAGCTCAGAACTCCGGAGCTGTCCAGCCTCTGCCTCTGACTTCACCGTGTGCCCGCCCTGCTGTCAGTGCAAGTTGGAGTGGGCTGAGGGGCACAGACAGGCAGGAGAATTCGCTCCAGCATGCCCCGATGCTTTCTGTAGAGGATCAGCGGGAGGTGATGAAGAACCAGCTCTCTGCCTTATCATGGGCGGGGTTTTCTTGCAGAAAATCCCATGGACTTGGCCTCTTCCTGCCCAGAGTCCAGCTCTAAGTATACACTATGCAGTGATGCTGGCATGGAGGGACAGAGGAGTGACCAGCACTGCTACAAAAATAGAAGTAGATCGTCCAGGCACACCCAGTTCTCAGAGCAGGTCTCCACAGCAAAGTTACAAGGCTTGCACGCACATCTTCTGGACACGCTGTCTCTGGGCTAATTTCCTCAAGTCTCAGAAAGCAAGGACTTGCAGATAAAGCAAGTGGGGCAGATGCAGACCAAAGGCGAGGATGGGAGGTGAGCCTATGAGTGATGGCAGTAGGAAGGGCGGCTCCAACGTGGGAGCGAAGGTGAGCACACAGTTTGTTAGTGTTGACCTCGTGGCCAGGCAGGATTTGGAGTCCTACAGCTTGGTGACTTTGGGCAAACAGACTATCCCAAGTTTGAACTTGGTGTACTTAGGCCGTTGGCCAGATTGAAATTAGATTAGATCTGTGTGCACCCTTACATCTTTGGCCTGGTGCGTGTTTCGCTAGACCTGATGGTCCCGAGAGCTTTCAGGAGGAGGTGACTTTCTGCGGCTCCTGGAGTGGTGAGGCACATTCCTTCGCTGCTCTGGAGTAGCACCGCCTTCTCTCGGGTGTCCATGCAGACCTCCGTGAGCGGTATCAGGCCCGAGTGTGCTTCCTGCCCACCTCCGCCCACCTTCAGGATACTCCCAGAATGCCTAGACCCTGATGCATAGCTGTCCCCAGGCAGCAGTTTGTGCTGGTGGCTGCATCTCAGAGGGTGGCACAGCTTGGGTGGGCTCCACAGGCAGACAGAGCAGGGCCGCTCTGGCATCCCACATACAGCTGTTTGGCTCATCTGACATGAGGATCGGGCCTGCCTGACCGAGATCCTCCTCTTTCTGCCCTTCACAGACTCCTGGATTTCATTAATGTCTTGTCTTATGACTTGCATGGAAGCTGGGAAAAGTTCACAGGGCACAACAGTCCCCTGTTCTCTCTGCCCGAAGACCCCAAATCCTCGGTAAGAGAAAGATAGGTCCCAGGTGGCCCAGAACGTGCCCCTGAGCCCAGGCCGTGGGCTCGGAGTAACAAAGATGGGTCTGCGTTCCTTCTACCTGCAGGCATATGCCATGAATTACTGGCGAAAGCTTGGGGCACCCTCAGAGAAGCTCATCATGGGGTTCCCCACCTATGGACGCACCTTTCACCTCCTCAAAGCCACTAACCATGGGCTGCAGGCCCAAGCGATCGGACCAGCATCTCCAGGGAAGTACACCAAGCAAGCTGGCTTCCTGGCTTATTATGAGGTGATGGGAGTAGGAACCTCTGTCTGGCAGTTAGGGCTCCCCTGCCCCAGCTGGGGCAAGGACAAGAGCAAGGGGCAGTGGCAAGAGGGAAGGCAAAGAGGAGTCTGTTGGGGCAAGGGAAATCTGCCATGTGCAAGGTTGTCCTTTTCTCTGGGGGAAGTTATCTGAGTCCTTGGTTAGGGACAAGGAGTTCAGAGGAGTCTGGAAGGGAACAGAAATTTCACCCCTCAAAACGATCTTAAATGTTGGGTGGGTAAATCCTGACTTCTAAGTAAAATTTATTCATATTAAGTGTATATATATATATATATGATTTGATTTCAAACATGAAGAAGTCATGTCCTCCTCACCTCACTTCCATCACTAACAACTCATGGCCAATCTTGTTTCACCTCTGCTCTCTGACTTCCTCCTTCCCCACTGCTGGGTTCTGTTGAAGCAATCCCACGACCTCCCATAGCAGAGGTCCTTGCTCTCTTCTCCCCCAGCTGCACTCCTTCATCCCCATCTTTAGGCTTTCCATGGTGGGAGTGGAGGGAACAGACGTGTATCCAAGGCAATGTAAGACATCAGCGAGGTCAGTAAGAGGCACACGAGCACGTGGCTGCAGGGACTTGGGAGCCTCAGGGAGCAGGTGGATTCTGAGCGGCATTGGAAGCATGGGAGAATTCTGAGCAGGGGTGACAAACTGAGAAGGATCGCCCAGGTAGAGGACAGCAGGTACAAAGGCACCAGGGACGTAGGGAGAGCCAGGCAGAAGGCTACACCTTGGACGGTGCTGTAGATGCCAAAGATCTCTCCAGTCTCTGGCTGGCTGGCTGGCCGCAGGTATTTCCCTTCTAGTCCAATGAAATGTATGAGTGATGGCATAGTTGGAGTAATGTTTTTGAAGGATATTTCAGATCAAAGAGACTTTGGCAGACAGAACCTTTCCAGCACCCAAAGAAAAAGGCAAGCACTTAGACGTTCACACAGCACAACGTGAGCACCTCTGCTTCTTTGCGCCATCGTTCCTAGCACAGAGCCGGCACCCAGTAGACACTGAAATGCTCGGCAGGCTGTGACAACCTACTTTCCGCTGCCTTTAGGAACTTTGAAAGTGCTAGAAGTTCAAGGGCTAGCTTGATAACTAGCTCCCTCGATGGGGTCTAATGAAAGAGGAGAGACGTGGTTATAAAAACACCTTGAAAGGATCTAGGTTTGGTCATCAGATGTGGTGCTCATACTACTTTGGTGCTGGCATTACTTACCAAAGCCTGTCGTGGTGTCTTCAGGAGGGCATCCAGTCCTTGGTTCTGTCTCTCTCTCTCTCTTTTTTTTTTTTTTTTTTTTTTTTTTGCCATGGACAGTAGAGGGAGGGACTGGTGTCAGCAGGAATTTGCTCAGAATAGAGAGGAGGGCCTCTGGGAGTGCCTTCCCATTCTCTCTTTGATCTTCCTTTGTCTTCTTCCTGTATTCGCTCTCCTGGGGCAATGTTAAACAGTTTGCTGGTGCTTTTCCCCATGGGGCTCACACGCTGCTCCTCCTGGCAGGTCTGCTCCTTCGTGCGGAAGGCGAAGAGGCACTGGATTGATTACCAGTACGTGCCCTATGCTTACAAGGGGAAGGAGTGGGTCGGCTATGACGACGCCATCAGCTTCAGTTACAAGGTGAGGCTGGTTCCCTTGCTCCAGCAGATCATTTCCCACTGGCTTCCATGGGCCCTGGTCCACTGTGTGTGTGCGCGCGCGCACATGCATGGTATGGACTGGGTGAAGGTGAAAAGGTGGCGATGACTGGATCTGGGGAGTTTCAGGGAAACTTAAGTTTTAGCGTGCAGACCCTTCTAGTCCAACCATCTTATTTTCAAAAGAAGGAATCTTGATTCTGAGGGAATAAATATTTCAGTTCACACAGCTTTTGGGAGGGCACTGCCTTTTTTTTTCCCTTTGGACAAGATGATGCCATGGCAGGTAAATACCTACACAAGGTAGATGATACTAAGAATGGCATGAATATGACTGACAGGGGGCTGGGTGGGAGAGCCAGGGGAGGCCCCCTGAGGGAGGGGGTAGGAGTAGGTGTCGCAAGGAGAGCTCGGAGGGGCAGAAAGCTTGTCGCAGGTTCAAAGAAGAACTTGGGTGCAACAGAGGTTCTTTGTGGAAGGACCTGGAGGCTGGTGAAAGAATTAAGTCTTCATGTTGTGGGAAAAATCAGGTTCCCGAGCAGGTGCGTGACCTGCAAGTTTGAGAGCTGCAGAACCTGACTGTGACCATGACCACCCACTCTGGTGTTTCATATACACTTGAGTCTGAGAGGGTTGTTATACAACGTGAATTAAAACAGAAACATAGAGGTTCCTGAACCTGCCCCTGCTTTCGAATCACCCGAGAGACTTGATGTGTGTAGAAATTCCTGATTCTGCCTCTCAACATTCAGTAGGTCTTAGAAAAAAACATGGAAACTGTGTTAGTGTGTCTCCATGGGTAATTGGGTTGGTGTTTGGGAAGCTCTGAGAGAATGAGAGTCCGGGTCAGAGTGTGTAGGAGAGGCAGTTTATGGGTGAGAAGTTTCAAGATGTGGCTACTGCCTAGGTACTGAATCTTGCAAGTGGAAGTCATAGCACTGTTCTGCGAAGGCGTTTCAGAAGGTTCATGGAAACATGGAAGTAACAGATAAGGTTAGATGCCAACGTTGTGGCACAGTGAGTTGAGCTGTCACCTGTGACGTTGCATCCCATACTGGAGCACTGGCTCTGGTCCAGGCTGCTCTGCTTCTGATGCAGCTCCCTGCTAATGCATCTGGGAAGGCAGCAGATGATGGCAGAAGATGGCCAACTACTGGGCCTCTGCCGCCCATGTAGGAGACCTGGATGGAGCTCCAGGCTCCTGGCTTCGCCCTGGCCCAGGCCCAGCCATTGCAGCCCTTAGGGGAGTGAACCAATAGATGGAAGATTCATTCTCTCGTTCTCCCCTCCCTTCAGATAATAAATAAATAGTTTTTTTTTTAAATGATAGGCTTATTTAGTAAAAAATTGAAATCCATCTTAGAAGAGTTTTCAAAAAGCTCATGGAGAGTGTGCATTTGAAAGGATGTATGTTATGCATGGATCTCAAAATGTCTTTTTTTTTTTTTAAAAGATTTATTTATTTATTGGAATGGCAGAGTTACAGAGAGGCAGAGGCAGAGAGAGAAAGAGAGGTCTTCCATCTGCTAGATGGTGCAACAACTGGAGCTGCGCCAATCTGAAGCCAGGAGCCAGGAGCTTCTTCTGGGTTTCCCACTACGGGAGTGCAGGGACCCAAGGACTTGGGCCATCCTCTACTGCTTTTCCAGGCCATAGCAGGGAGCTGGATTGGAAGTGGAGCAGTTGGGACTCAAACTGTTGCCCATATGGGATGCCGGCACTGCAGGCGGTGGCTTTGCGTGCTATGCCACAGTGCTGGCCCCAGCAGGTGGTTTTTCTGTGGGCGCAATGTGGTGGAGGAAGGCAAGAAAGACTCTTGGAGACGCCCCGGCAGATCTCCCCTGCTGGGGCAGGCGTGGCTTCCAGCCTCACCACCTCATTCCGTGACGTGGGAATGGAGGGCAGGAAAGAGAAAGGACTCAGTGGAATTACCCAGCTGGATAGGATTAAACATCTGACCCACAGGACATCAGAGAGGGCATCGACTCCACGTGTGGAGGAAGGCCCCAGGACCAGCAGCTGGGGGTGGGCTTGCTTTAAAGTGGCGTGACTGTGCCTTGCAGAACTAGAGAGGGGTAGGAGCCCAGCTTGGGGTGAGGTGTTAACGGTATTTGATCAGAGACTATTAGAGCTAAAAGAGAGCCTGGAGATCATGGTTGGGAGATAATTATTCCAGGATTTCTTGGTGCTGCTGCATAGTCTGGGTGTTCTGAGCAAAGGAAGCCGTCTCACTATGCTAAAAATAGAGCCCTGCCCCACTGGTCCCCCTTCCCCAGAAACCACTGCTGGCACTGGATGATGGCAAAGGTCCGCTTCCTAGTGAGGACTTGTTTACATCGCACAGTGAAGCTCACTTGCTCTGGAGGGGAGCAGGGCCAGACGTGCCACCATCCCATAAAAGCTCCAAGTCTGATCACATTGGGGTTTCTCTGTGGTGCACACCCGGCTGCACGCGCCGGGGAACTTTAAGCCTCCAGCACATGGCTCTTTGAGTAACTGGAGGTGCGAACCAACTCAAGGTGCTATTTTGGCAGCTCTCTTCTTCTGTGGCTGCCAACAGTCTCTGATCAAGAGGTACAGAGTATGCGTGTGCATGTGCGTGTATATGCGTGTGCCTGTGTGTGTGTGTGCGTGCGTGTGTATGAAACTGGCAGGCTAACTTGTTAGCTTGTAAATAGGGTAAACTTTTAGAGCCTTCACAGCTCCAGACTTCACAATGCTGGGATTCCTCCTTCCATTTATTTTACATTTGGGGGAAGTAAAACCCAGAAAGGAGCACAATGACCAACTCACACAGCTGTTTGGATGTGAGGGGATCTCCTTTGCTCTATACTGTGACGTCATTGGCAGGCTAAGCGTAGGCCCTGGAACTTGAGTTAATGCACCCTGCCATTTAGGGCTGAGGCTTTAAAAACCACAGACATAAGCCTTTGTATTTTCTCATCTGTGGAAAGACTATGATCCTCTCTGTACTTTATAGCACTAGTGTGAGATAAAGAAGTGATTTTTAAACAAAACAGCAGCATCTGTAATTTAGTATGATCATGGGGACCCAGAAGGATAGTAACTAACTTTCATTGAGCTTCAACTTGTGCGACGTGTTGACCCAAATGCTTTATATGAGGGGCTCTTTAAGAGACGTTCTGCAGCATTCCTACTTAACATCAAACACAAGACTGACCATTTTAACCACTTCCGATCCCACAGTTTGGTAGCATGCAGTGCATTTACATAGCTGTGTAACTATCACCATCAACTGTCTGCAGAACTTTTCATCTTTCCTGGTCAAAAATCTGTACAGCCCATCCCCCCTGCCCCGGGGGCTGGAATCACCATTCCGCTTTTCCTATCTATGAATCAACTGCTGTAGATACCTCACGTCAATGGGCTTATGCAGGACTTATCATTTCCTTTCGCATAATGTCTTTGAGTTTCATCCATGTTGCCGTCTGTGTATCTAGGAATTCTTTGGATCCTAAAAATGCTGCAAATATTATTATTCCTTTTTTTTTTTTTTAACAAATAAGGCAACTAAGCCACACTAAGGATTATGTGATTTTTCAAGACCTCCTGTGGCTATTAAGCACCCCACTGCATTGCCTCCTGAAAGGGCTCTCTTCGGATTTTTGCCATTGTACCTGGCATGGAGAGTGGCCAGCAGTTAACTGACTACTGTTTTTACAGGCAATGTTTGTCAAGAGAGAGCACTTCGGGGGGGCTATGGTGTGGACACTGGACATGGATGACGTCAGGGGCACTTTCTGTGGCAATGGCCCTTTCCCCCTTGTCTACACATTGAATGACCTTCTGGTGCAGGACGGTGAGTAGCTTTGCCCTGCACGCTGGGTTGGGTGTCGCATGACTGGGCACTGGTGGGCCCCTATTCCCAGGTCTAAATGCTTTGGTGCAGCAACAGTACGTGGAAGGAAGAGACGTCGTGATGTCAGGCTAGTACGTACTCTGATCTTGGTTGGGACAGTTGGCCTTTCTGACCGCCTTCTTTGAGCTTCCCTTGCCCTGCCTGTAAAATGGGAATAATCCTTACACTGGACATTATTTTAAGGACTAAATAAGATATAGAATGAAAATTGTACTGGCTCAGCTGGCACTCAGTATAGATAATAGTTTCCATGTTTCTCCTGCCTTAATGGCAAGAACTGAGAAGGGAATTGGGTTCCTTTTGATGTCTCTTTCTGAGAGCAGAGGCTGCCCTGGCTGGTAGGAGCTGGAACAGCCTCAAAAGAGAGAGTGTAGCCCTGGTTCTGTAGACAGCTGCAGCTTAGTCAGGGGCGGCTATGGGTGACTTCAGCCCGGTTGTTTTCACGAGAGAGATTTTCTATCTTGTCCATTAAGGATTTCTGTAGTTCAAGAATTTGTTTTTGAGAACTTCTTAATGTTCTTATCATTTTTTTGAGATCTGCTTCTTGCATTTCTTCTATCTCATCATCTTCATAATCTTGAATTGGGGTGTCTATTTCATTTGGGGGCATCATAGTGACTTCCTTGTTTTTATTACCTCGGTTTTTGCGTTTGTTATTTGGCATATTGGAGATATTTGGTTTCTTCACTGTGGTTCTTTTTCTTGTTATACTATGACTCTAGATTAAGTGGACTGTCTGTTTTTGATGGAGCCTTAGAGGCTTGAGATGGGTGTGGCCTGAGAGCTCTGTTTGGTGTGCCAAAGGTGACACTCCCAGGTTAGGCGTGGTAGATCTCTCTCTCTTTCTTTCTTTTTTTTTTTGATTCAAAAGGGAAGTAATTCCGCACAGCTGAACGAAGTTGGAGGTAGTTAGCAGGCAAATGATATACCCACAGGAGCCAGAGATCGGAAGCTCTTTCCCAAGGACCACACAGGGAATCTGTTCTGCCCTCAGAGTGGGCTCAAATTCTCCTTCAGTCTCCCACTGTGCCAAAGTTACGGAATTGTAGCGTCTCTGGAGAGTACTCACGTGAATTCTGTGAGTTCTCTCCCCCATCGTCTCTTTTTTCACAGTCTCAGTTCAGTAGCACCACAAATTTACTAGGTCCTAATCTCCTGTTAATTCACCCCGCCCAGAGTCAGGTTTGTCTGCTAGGCTCAGGGCCGGTGCAGACCTGAGGTCGCTCTGCTTATGACGTATGTCCAAGATGGCGCCTGCTCTTTGTCTTGCTCGCCTTTGAGAGGTGAGCGGAGAGAGAGAAACCCGTGTCCGTATCAGTCACTTTCTCTCTCTCTCTCTCTCTCTTCTAGTTAGCCTGGTGAACTCCCCCCCGCCCCCCCCGGGGGGTCGTTCCCTCTAGTCTCCTCTTTCCACTTGCCTGCTGGTGTCTCGGGCTATTGAGGTTTGGCTCACCTCGCGTTCCAGTGCTGGTGTGTTGAGTCTGCCGCTGGTGTCCCGAACTGTGGGCTCCCACGCTCTCCATGCAAGTCCACTGTGAATCACTCGTTCCGGAAGAGTTTCTTCTGCTGTTTCTTCCCCTACTCTTCCTTGAACCTGCAGTATCTCCACTTTATTAAACTGTCTCTCCCCGGACTATCAGTGTGCTCCCTTCCTATTCCGCCATCTTGCCTCCTCCCTCAGCCCGGTTGTTTAGAACGTGTCACGTAGGCCCCCCTTGCTCTCAGCTTTGTCCCCAGTGCCTCTTGTGATATGGAACACAGGAGGCTTCTCCCTAGGGATTCAGTAAGTAAGGCGTTAGGCCTAGGGAGAAAGGTCTTGCCAATGGGATAGACACAGAGGTCAAAGTGAAGACTTAAGCATAAAGAATGGGTAGGTTCCTGCTTGGGGTCATTCACTGGAAATGGAGCAAATTCACTGACAGGCTGGGGCCATGTTAACATGCTGGGGTGGCGGAACACGGCTTTTGTGCATTGGGGTTTCATCGCTAGCCTCTAGTGGGTACATTCTGAGATCCTCCAAGTCTAGATTTTTGGAGCAGATTGGAACCTGGGGTGGCTCTAGTACCAGAAATTAATTGGATAGAAAGGAAGAGGCAGGAATCTCATCCTTTCCTAATGATTTTTCTCCAGAGTCCACCCCGACACCTTTGCCACAATTCTGGTTCTCCTCAGCTGTGAATTTTTCAAGAACTCACCTGGCCGTGACGGAGCCGCTGACCACTGATATTAAGATTTTGCCCCCAGGGGGCGAGGCTATGGCCACTGAGAGCAGTGGGATGTCTGAAGCACCCAGAGGTGCAGCTGTGTCCCTTGGCAAGCACACTGTGGCTCCGGCAGAGAAGACTGAGCCCCCTGGAGTGAAGCCCATGACCCCTGGCAAGATGACGATGACCTCTGCTTGAGGTTGAGACCCTGCAGTGAAGACCGTGACTCCTGGAAGGAAGGCTGTGGCCCTTGAGAGACATCAGTGGCCCCTGGTGGGCAGGCTATGTCTCTGCAAGGGGACAATTCGACTTCCGAGGCAGTCACCGCCCCTAGGATAGGCAACATTAGCGTGCAGGTAGACGTTGGGAATGCGCTGCCGTCCTCTGTCCCTGTCGTCTGGGGCCCAGGTCTTGTTTCTGATAGCTGCTTTATTCTCACTCAACTCAACGACACTTAGAAAAAAAAAAACCCTGTCTCTCCAATAAAAGAAAACTTTGCGCTGGATCAGGGAGCCTACATTCAGCAGAAGCAGGGGCAAGCCCTTGTGTGTCGTCCTGAGTGATGTTACAGAAGCTGCCTGACCCCAGCCATCTGTGAACTGTTCAGGGGAGAAGCCACGGAGCATCAGTTGCTTTTCTGATGAATAAACTTAGAGACACAAGAATGTTCTCTGAGATTCTTTTCCAGAAATGAGCTGGGCAGCCCAGTTGTCAGCTTCTCCTTTTTGGGATCATTTCCCTCTGCTGCTATTTCTGCAAGGAGGGCGTGTGCGTCTGCTCCGCAGTGTGGACTCTGTGCTTCCTCCTCTGCCGAGAGCAAGCGCTCAGTTCACTGGCGGTCAGAGCAGTTCTCCGGAGCCCGCCAGGGCAGCTGGGAGAAGCGGTTGGGGGGAAGCTGAGGCTTCCATCTGAATTCTCTGCCTAGTGAACTCCCAGTGGTTCCTGAAGCTCCCCTTCCCCCCTAATTATTCTCTCTATAAGAAGTGGTTGAGAAGGCAAATGATTTTCTAAATTATTTTCTGTAGTGCCACCTACATGCTTGTCCCAGTGCTCCTCCAGTGCTCCCATTGCCACGCATCCCACAGTGCAGCCTACCCAGGAGCATTTTCTGGGCATGACAGACCCTCCTAAATTACCGTAGATGTGGGACCGAGTCTAGCCCTCCACTTGCAGGAGCCAATGCCACACAGCATGGGAGTCTCACTTAAGCCCAGTGTTACCTTTTCTTTTTGAAGTATAGTGTCAAGTCTTTGAGCCAGGTGTCTCACATTGAAACGCTCATAGGACCAGGTGTCTGTAGGACAGACTGGGGCCTTTGAAGGCGGGTGGCCACATGCTTGTGTTGCCACAACAGCAGTAGCATGTCAGTTAGCTACTGTCGCGTAATGAATCAATCCTAACTCTCGTGGCTCAGAGAGCAGCCATATAGTTAGCTCATAGTTCTAAAAAATGTTGACAACGTGGCCTGGGTTCAACTCAGTGATTCCAGTGTTTTGTGCTGGTCTTGGCTGGAGTGGCTCGTGCATCTACAGTTAGTTAATTCACTGGACTGGGGCTGGCTGATTTTTTAACAGTGGCCCTGGCGAGGCTGACTGAAGCTCCTACCCGTGAGATCTTTGATTTCTCAGCTGTGTAGCCAGGCCTGTTCACATGGTCACATTGTTACCAGGAAATGAGAGAAACCTTCAACAGACAATTCACTATTTAAAAGTTTATGTATTTGAGAGGAAGACAACACACACACACACATACATATCAGGTGTTGAACACAGGTACTCTAATATGGGATGAGGACGTCTTAACTGCTAGGCTAGCTGTCTGCCCTGACAATGGATTTTTACAAATATTTTACTTATTTACTTGAGAGGCAGAATTGCAGACAGAGAGAGGAAGAGACAGAGAGAGGTCTTCCATCCGCTGGTTCACTCCCCAGGTGGCCGCAATGGCTGGAGCTAGACTGATCTGAAGCCAGGAGCCAGGAGTTTCTTCCAGGTCTCCCACACAGGTGCAGGGGCCCAAGGACTTGGGCCATCTTCTACTACTCTCCCAGGACATTAATAGAGAGCTGGATTGGAAGAGGGGTAGCCGGGATGTGAACCAGCACCCATATGGGATGCTGGCACTGCAGGTGGAGGCTTAGACTACTAGACCCCAGCACTGACCCCAACAATTGATTTTTTAAAAAGATTTACTTATTTGAAAGATGTAGTTACAGAGAGAGGTAGAGGCAGAGAGAGAGAGAGAGAGAGAGAGAGAGAGAGAGGTCTTCCATCCGCTGGTTCACCCCCCAGATGGCCACAACGACCGGAGCTGCCAGGAGCCAGGTGGCTCTTCCAGGTCTCCCACGTGGGTGCAGGGGCTCCAGGTCTTGGGCCATCTTCCACTGCTTTCCCAGGCCATAGCAGAGAGCTGGATCGGAAGTGGAGCAGCCAGGACTAGAACTGGTGCCCATATGCGATGCCGGCTCTTCAGGCCAGGGCATTAACCGGGGCCACAGCACTGGCCCCGACAATTGATTTTTAAGTCTATTGTCCCAGTGGCTAAAAAACAAGTCAAATGTGCAAGTTCAAAGTTAGAGTGTTGTGCAATTATCCAGGTGGTTGCAAGGAGACACAAACCAATTGGAGTCCATTATTGCAATAATCTTAATAATCTTACTCTATAAGTTCAATGATCCAACATTTAACAGAATCTAAAAAGTGTGTGTGTGTGTGTGTGTGTACAGTGATAGAAAGCACAGTATCTGAGGGTCAGAGACAAGGCAGTCTATTAACAATAGTAAGAGCCAGAACAGTATCTTGTGCTAGTTACCCAAGCCACAATCCCACAGTGAGCTCCAGTAATCCAAACTGTGTCTACACATGCAGTGGGCACATTTCAAGAGAGAAACCCTGGGTTAGGAAAATGAGGCCTCATACAGGGCTGTTGGCTACCTGCCATTCTCTCCCTTCCCATGCTCAGAGGGGAGAGAGAGCGAGCGAGCTCTCTTTAGGTTTCCAGGCTATCTGCTGTTCAAGTATCCTTGAAAAGACAGTCCAAGGAGTACAGAAATGCCAGGCCCACAGAGATCACCCTGGGAGTGTTCTAGTAGTCATCCTACTGCCATCACTACCCATAGCTCAGCATCTCTGGTGTTGGAGCCCAGGTACTGGAGACTGCCTCAGCTTCCCCAGAAGTCCTGGTCTCCCCGTGCAGCCGTCACTCCTGAAGTTTCCTATGGGTACATCTGCTTGGAAGAACCTGGTCACATATGAAACCCTTATTCCAGGGAACACAGGGTTTGATGTTTAGCTGGCCAGTCTATGTTCAGGAAGACACACCAGAGGGGGTTCAAGGTATTGAATTAGCCAATGTCCATCACCTGTAAGGATCACTCTGTGGCTGCCCGAATTACAGCTTCACCCTTCTCATACTCGAGCATCCTAAGAACAATTGCAGCAAATGATCTCATCTAACACAGAATCAGCTCTCCCAGTGGAGATGTGGAGGTGGGGGGAGCAACCCAACAATGGCATATGGGCAGTAACAGACGAAAGGAACTGCATTACAGCATGAACATAAGCACATCGAAAGGGGTAGGGGAGAAAGGAATCGGCCTTGGAAAATAGGAATTTTTGACTTTATACTGAAAGGCTAAAGGAAAAAAGAACTACACCCTAATATTGTTCTCTCGTTAGCAAGTTTTTTGTTCACAGCTGTATACACGAGTGATGATACAATCGCTTGAACGTGCATTCCAGAAGGAAGCAGAGAAGTAAATGTGCTGTGAACTGGAGTCATGTTGGAACTGTAAGTTACAAAGAGGGAAAGTGGAAAAGCCAGAATGAGCCCCTGTGGCGTGAGAAGTGGTGGTATCAGCATGAAATCATGGCTTTACAAGCCAATACAGACACCTCGGTATAAAGCGAGCGTGTTTCCCAGCTTTGACTGCCCAGAGGGCTCTGGAGCAAGGCTCTCCCAGCAGCGATCCGTCTTTCCAGGGCTGAGATCTTGGCTTCTCAGTCCCTTTCTCCAGCAAAGGAACCGGTGGTCCTGGAAGGTGTGACTGATTGTTGGGTCGAGGCAGGGCACGTACAAGAAGAGACTGGGCCATCTCATGTTGCCACACAGTTAGGAAGGACTCAGAACCCGAGGGAGCCATGCTGAAGGGACCCAAGGATCCCCTTGAAGGAGCTCCCGGTGGCCGCATGTGAGACAGCTTGAACCACAAAATAAATGGTGGTAATACTGAATCACCTCATTGTATCACGAGTCTGCACAGCCATCAGTAAGCAACTGAATAAATGGGGCCAGCGCTGTGGTGCAGCGAGTTAAAGCCCTGGCCTGCAGTGCTGGCATCCCTTATGGGTGCTGGTTTGCTCCACTTTTTTTTTTTTTTAAAGATTTTATTTATTTGTTTATTTATTTGAGAGGTAAAGTTACAGACAGTGAGAGGGAGAGACAGAAAGGTCTTCCTTCCTTTGGTTCACTCCCCAAATGGCCTCTACGCTAGGAGCTGCGCCAATCCTGAAGCCAGGAGCCAGGTGCCTTCCCAGTCTCCCATGCGGGTGCAGGGGCCCAAGGACTTGGGCCATCTTCTACTGCTTTCCCAGGCCATAGCAGAGAGCTGGATTGGAATTAGAGCAGCCGGGACTAGAACATGGCGACCATATAGGATGTCGGCGCTGCAGGCGAAGGATTAACCTACTGCGTCATGGTGCTGGCCCCTGCTCCACTTCTGATCCAGCTCCCTGCTAATGTGCGTGGGAAAGCAGCAGAAGATGGCCCAAGTCCTTGGGCCCCTGCACCCACACGGGAGACCCAGAAGGTCTCCATTTCCCCTTCATTCGAAAATGAGAGCTCCAGCCATTGTGGCCATTTGGGTAGTGAACCAGCAGATGGAAGACCTATCTCCCTCCCTCTCTCTCTGCCTCTGCCTCTCTGTACCTCTGCCTTTCAAATAAATAAATAAATCAATAAATCCTAAAAAAATTGAATAAATGTACTAGTCGAGAAGAAGGGCCAGCTTTTCCTTACAAAGTCAGGCCAGTTAGCAAATGTAAAAGCAATGATGTAAACAGAAAATCACTATTTGACAAACAGAATAGTGACAATTGTTAGAGATAAGGAACACTCAGTGGGATGCTAAGATTATTGGGTTAAGAACATGACAAGAAACAGGATATTTGCACTGTCTCAAAGTATTTTGCCACAGTACTAATTACAGAAGGAAAAATAATAACTTTACAATGGGAGAAACACAGCAGACACAATATAAAACCAAGTGATCAAAGTTAATGGAACCGTCTCATCAAGCAGTGCCCACGTGGGATGCGGGTGCCGCAGGCGGAGGACCAACCCACTGAGCCATGGCGCCATAGCGAGCGACACTTCCCAAAAATATTCTCACCTGGCTCTCCCCAGCACAAATTCCCTACAGATAAACTCCATGAAGGCAGAGATTTTTTGTCATTTTTGTTCACTAAGTATCCCAATTGTGCCTGGCATTATTCTAGAAAATGATGAGCTAGTATTTCTTTAAATCCTGTTTTCTCCCATTATTTCCATCGTATCCTCGATGAGACACATAGTGTATTCTGACTTTTCCTGCAGTTCAACTTTCATGGCTCATATTTTGTCTTTATCTTCCCACTTCTTTTTCTCAAATCTTTATTCATTTCTTCCT